CGTAGGCATACGGTTAGGTATTTTTTTTTCCTCTACAAGAGTCTACGTGTGCGGCGGCTGCCGGACAGGTATACACGACGAGCCGAGCTCGCGCGAGTCCGAGTCCGAGTCGTTTCGTTCGACCTATTATGCTCGTACTTATATATTGTGTGTGTGAGTGTGTGTGTGTGTGTGTGTGAGTGTGTGTGTGTGTGTGTGTGTGTGTGTGCAGCCGGCGTGAAGAGAAAAAATAACAAAACCGTCTCCGTCGTATCATATATTTATATCGAACTACTACTACATAATATAATAATATAATATATAGAATATACGTGCGTATTAACGTGGCCGTCGTCGCCACTGCACGACAGTGGCGACGATGTGTCAGTGTGTGGCGAATCGCATATTTGTATTATATCTATATAATATAATATTGTATGTATGTGCACGAACGGATAGGATTCGGTAGCTGACGCAGCCGTCGTCGTCGGGCGCCAGTTTTTATAATAATAATAATAAAGGAGCCGGCCGCTGTCACACTCGCGTCCTCTGCTGCACACGTACACACACACACACACAAACAAGGTATATATAATATGTTTATTGTATATTTATATGTATAGAGCGACGTAGTGTATTCCTCTTTACGAGAGAAGTTTGACGAGTTGATTGGTTCGTGATGGGTGTTCCCGGCACGTCAAACACGCCAACGGTTTCGATATTATATTATTATTGTGTGTGTGTGATGGACGGACTTGGAGTGGATAATGCGTTTTGCAGTCGTGTCCGCACCGTGTACACCGCAAGCCCGGGATCGATTTTATATAGATTTTTATCGTACACATGTTATAATATAATATATTTTATTATATATGTATGCGCGTTTTGTATTATTTATTATTATATTATTATTATTACTTCTTTTTTTTTTTTTTGCCGGTCCGCCGACTGCCACCGTGTCAGTTTGTACTTCTTGCTGTCTCACTACTGTTTGTATAATATACAATAACCTCGTGTTAGTGCCGGTGGTTATTTTATGTTATCTCGTCTGTTGTAGCTCGGCCGTCCGGTAATCTTTCCTCCGACCAATAAAATTGGCCTCCATCCCTCGTCGAATGCCCGGCGCGGTATAAATCCCGAAACCCCGTCACCACGTGACGAAGTATCCCCTACAAAGGTCACGACCACTATGTATATTATAACCTGGGTACACATACGCTTAGTGTAAGTCTTCAGTGTATTAACTACTCGGGTTTATTTTACGATCGTTCACGTCAGATCGAAATTCCGAAGCACACTTGCGGACGGAGCGCCACCGGCGTGTTTAAAATATACTTTTGGAGGTTCTAAATATTTACGTTATCACAACGTACAAGCGTGTATTGACTAATCGTTAATGTGCTAATTTTATCATTTGTAGCGCTATTTGTTTTACCACTATAATATGTGTGTTTGTCGATTGTCAGCTTCGACTCTTTTCGTTATTAATGAATCATCAACAACAACCATACGCGTGCTGTCAAACAAAAATAATTAATAACAGAGAGAAATGTCCGACAGTCGGTAAACAGTGGTGAACATACTTCAACGCTCTATGAATGTTAATTGAGTTTCCAGAGATTATTATTTAAAACGAGTTGAATACGATTGTAAATGTTATTGCCAATTCCGATAAAAAGTCTGAGAGAGAATTTTCCCGTATGAACTCTAGGACGCCTCCACGACCGTTGTTTACAATTATTTATATTACAGTTGCTCGTAACTTGATAATATTATGCAGTGTTGTGTATATGGGTTTGTAAAATTCAAGCTGACTGTCAAAGTTGATTGAGCGACTGTACGAAATTGAATTAAGTATTAACTCAGTTTTGCCTATGCAATTATATCGTTTAATTATTTTATAATTTCTGGGCGATTTCCTCATCACGTCATCGCATCTATTGATTTATCAAATTTACTCTCAGTCATATTATTGTAAGGGTGGTAAATTATTTTGTTTTAAACAATATTATTAAAAAAATTATTATCAGGCCGCGACTTATCATAATAATATACACTCTGAGACAGCGGTAGAGCTGAACCGTTTGAAATTGACGATTAGCGCCATTAGTTACATAAAGTCACCAAATAAACTAGTTTATACAAGTTTAAGTTTAATTTGTAATATTAATTAGGTAGTTCAAATATTATAATATATAATTTTGAATAATGTTCTGGTTCAGATGAGTATCATACTGCAAGTATCATTATAATGTATAAGGAAGTATACTGCAGTTACAACTTAGAAATAATATTGAAGTAAATGGAAAACCGCAATTTCTTGATGATGGTCACCAGTGGCGTACTCACGGGGGGGGATGGTCATGGGGTTTGACGAAACCTAACCCCCCCATCGACCGTATTTTTTTTCGATGATATAATATGCTATCTCTATAAAAAAATAAAATGTACTAATATTTATTAATTTTAATTGATAATTCGCAGGTTATTCGCACAGTCACACTGACTACGCTTCTACGAGCGTATTGTTTACAAACATTATACATTGTATAGTTATAAGACTTAAAAGTATAATATTATAGTGCACGCTGTAGTGGTTAGGTGTTTATAAGGATTTGTGATGGGTCCAAAACTGACCATTGAGGTTGCAGATTAAGCGGCCGTACAAAATCGGAATAAATATATTATATGCGATAGGTATCAAATTATAGCGTAAAACGTAATAATAATAATATTATCGTTGGGTGATTTCCTCGCCACGTTGTCCGCGTATAACCTGAATAATCCATCAAATTTTCTTAAAGTCTAATTATTGTTGTGAGCATTGTACATTTTCTTGTTTTGAATAATGACAATAATACAAATCATCATTGGTATAGCGTCGTTCGCTATTCACTTCGGTAAGCGGTTCTTCGGCTTATCGGCCTTATCGTATACACCCTAACTTCTGGCTTTTACAAGTGATAGTGGCAAAGAACCGTTCGAAATCAGCATTCAACAATTGTCACATTCATCGCTGCACCCGTATCGTCAAATGATCGGTGGTCGCTTACGGGCGGCGACAATTTTCGGTAGACGACATCGAAGGAGAAAACTAATTTTAATAATGTACTGATAACATCATGCCAACACTTTTTAATATTCGTCTTGACGATGACGTGATTGGAAATATCAGGTTGAAAAGTTACGAATTTGTAAAATATGTATAACTAAACATTTTACTAGAAAGAAATGGTCATGAATCATAGTATTTAATAATATTACGAGAATTTTCGACAACTTTTAATTTTGAAACGTAGGTAGGTACATACTATAAGTCTTACATTTTACGAATTAAATATTTTTAAGTGCTTGTTCACTAGGCATATTGTTTTTTAAAACATGTAGAAGATATCCAAAGACTTGGATACATTTGAGGTCCATCAGATGCACCTACGGTAATAATTGCATCACTGAGGATAGTATATAAGTATATTAGACGCAATTTTATACCATAGTTATGAAATATTCAAATGTACAAAATGCGGTAGATCGTGGGTTCGTGCATGTTCACTGACCACTGTTATATTATGATATATGTTGTAATTTTACATAATATATTATAAGCTATATAGTTGTTATTGTAAATTGTAATACCTACGTGTTGGCCGTTTGTCAGTTTGGCACACGCTTCAACTAAATAAAAATTTCCACTGTACCTGACAATAATAATAATAATTATGATATGAAACTCATCGGAAAATGTATATGCAGTGCATATAACGTGTATGTAAAACGAGAATATCGAATAAATTAGAATACCGTGTTTTTATGACCATATTCGTAGTCAATTTATGTTTCACATAAGACATATTATTAAATTATTGTCATATGTGTGACACATAAATTGACTATGCCTACAAACATCAGACGAGTGACGACTATTATATTATGATGATCAACACAATATAGTATATACAATATCCATCGGCACCCGTTATATTTTACAATTTCGACGTAACCGTTTACCGAGGTACGTATAAGTAATGTAATCTGCTCCACGATAAGGTCTAAACGCCACCCTCCCCTGAAAAACCGTGTATTATACAATCATTACCCCTAAAACTTAATACTTAACTCATGACCTGTTGCTCGTTCGTCGACTAACCGATTTCGTCTGTTTGTGTTATGGTTTGACTCCAAGACGAGCCCACTGGCCATGTTGATGCGGATCTGCAGTCAGGTCGGCGCCGACCTACCGATGGCAGCCGCCACTATAGCCGTGACTATAGCCCACTCGGCCGTGGCATACTTGGGTTACGCGGCAACCAACCACCACCGGACTAACCTCAATAACGATTAGGTACGTTGAGAACACGCCCAAACTGGCAAAGTTGAACTTTAAACCGTATGAGAACACCATGTTGACACTGCCGTACAGCTCCAACATCACCACACTTCAGCCTACCGGCTACATCAACTTCATTACAACCGCCATAACAACAATAACAAGGACGGTCAGCCCAAAACCAGTGCTCGGAAGACAAAGGAAACTGTGCAGGCCAGTCCACTTCGCTACGTGACGAATACGGCAGTGTATGCCACAAGAGCAGCCGCCGGCCGTCAACCTTCTGAAATCGCGACGGCCTTGTCCACCGTCTGTCTATCGGGTCGATCATGCGGTCCGGTCTAGAAGTGATGCACGGCCAAGGCGTTCTGCCCACCGTCGCCGATATCCGCTCACTCGCCGTACAAATCACATGAACCGCTGACCATCTTCAGGCCCACGTACCTAGCCGGCACGCAGAGGACTCTGGCTGCCGTATCTCTGGCCACGGCCGAGGTGGGGAAACCGTCATCGTCGTCTGACTGCAAGGATCCGATGTGCGGTGGCCCGAGATCCGGGTGTGGCCAGCAGCAGCAGCATGTGGTGGCCATGGCCACGCTGGCGTTCGCCGCCCAATGTCATCCGATGATGGCAGCGGCCGGCGTGCACTGGTTGCGTACAGACGGTACAGTGCGACCACCAGCGTAACCTGTCCTCACTGATGGCCGCTGCATCCGTGCCCCCGTTCTACGTGCCCGTGGCCCACCCGTATACGTGCAGCTGGGTGATTCCCGGCGGCCTGCACATGCAGTCGTCGTTTCCAGCTACTGCCGCCACCGAATCGGCCACGGCGGAATCGCTGTGCGGCAAGAGCTTCAGAACTGTTGTAGCACATCCGCACGCACACGTCCGCCGGCGGTAGAGCTGTCTCTGCGGCCGCTTGCATGGCTGTCGGTGCCGCGGCTTGGATGTCGCCCATTACGGAGGCAGAGTTCTCCGCCTACAACAGCCACTTGTTCCGGCACTTGTTCCATCACCCGTCACGGCCCCGCAGCTAACGGCAAACAGCAGCCCATGTGGCCGCCACTGCCGTACAGCTCGTTCAATCCCACGGTTGCGTACCATCACCACCACCACCATCAGCAACAACACTAGCAGAACTCGCCCCGAGTAACACATCCACCGCAACCATCAGCCGCCGTTAACGTCAGAGTCGTTTGCACAACAATTATTATTGTTATTATTTCATCGATAGACAGTGACGCTGTGATAGAAGCTTATACTCTATTATATTATTATTAATCGTCCGGCAAACATCGATAAATGCGTGACAAGATATTTTTGTACCTCACTCACTCACTAATCACTATACTACTTACAATCCGTCTTTTTTCTATATTAAGTACTAACCGTTTTGAAAGAATTCAAAATAATCAATTTCTATGTGTCTGCATGTGGGTCGTGCGTAGTGCTTAAATGTATGCGTAGTAACACTAGTGAATTATCAATTGTGTGGGTAACTGTGTAAAAAAATTATTAGCAGAGTGCTCCCTCGTTTGCACGTACATCCGTCGTCAATAAGTAATAATGCAACGCTTTTCACACTAATTACAAATGTGAATTTTAGTGTGAAACACTGAAACTTAGTTTCGTATTTCCAATCATATTGCTTACTATAGGTGACGTTTTAGTATGAACACTTATTATACAAATTAAATATATTGTATAATAGTTTATCTATTATAGGCCAATACATATATGAGTCGATTTTCTATATTTTATTTTTAATGTCCAATATTCAGCTCTAAAACTTGTGATATTTTCGGGTGACAGATAAGTGGACGGACTGATCTCAATTAGACATAATACCGGTATAATTCAAATCTGTTTTAAAAAGTATTATCGCATTACTAAGTCGCTCGGTATGATGGGATAAAGATTGTTATGTTTTGGCTAAAATAATAAAATTGTTCACCACCAAAACAATTAAATAGTGACAATTATTATTAATCATCGCGACGGTATAGTTCAATTAATATTATCATTATTTTACAGTATACGTCTACACGATATATCACTTTGGTCTCGTGGCGTCATACTATACGTATAGGTACCTATATTTTAAATCTACACAGGGTTCCCGCTTATTTCACCCCACGGCCAAATCTTGAGCGATTTCTCCACTCGGGCCTTTACGCGTACTGTGTCCCTCAGGGCAATCGATTATTATTATTATATCCCATAATATAATATGGGAAAACCGCCGCTGCGTGTGGAAATTAATATAACGAGGTGCTGTTCGAACCCCAAACGGACACAGCTCATTACTTACAGAGAATCGACAATATATTAGTATATTACTATACGACAATATAATAATATTATCTACGTATACACGTATCGATCCGATCCATTATAATAATATACACGTTCGTTTTTTCATAACGGCTCTGCAGATCACTGACTTGGGAATAATATTACGTAGTTCAGGCGAGGCCAGTGTACCTAAATAGTATTATATTCTATACTTACATACCTAAAGGTAATAAAGGGTATACTAAAGGTTACCCTGCACATCGATGTATTTTCTTAGCGCTAGTCTTTGAAAACAAGGATTATGCTGCTCTTCCCGCACAAAGGCGACTTTGTGGGAGCGAACACACATAGTACGCAATATCACATTATAATATTATATTACAGTAACAACTTTATGCATCGAAAAGTTTAATAAAAATACGTAATATTTATTTTATTTTCTACTTAAAACGTTGCTTTTTTTCGGTACAACATCGGAGACATTTTCTAAAATAATATATAAATCATGTTCAAGAGCCGCAAGTCTTAAATATGTGCGAATTAGTCTATACTCTATATACTGTAGTATATAGAGTCGTACATACAATTCAATGTACGTCCAACACTATATCGTCAAGATATACTCAGAGTGACGGGCAACGTCTTAGTTGTGAACATTAATGAACTATTTATAATTGCTTAAAATAGTTTTTTTTTTTAGACTGGAGTACCTACCGCACATTAATAAATTAAAACAATATTACACAGCCGAAAAAACACGTGTTACTGCATTAGTTTCTGATTTTTTCTGTTGGTGGCAATTTAAAATTGTATTAATTAAAATACTATGTTAATCTTGGTAAGTTTTTAAGAGACCTAAACTGAGGGGACTGATGTGATCATACAATATAATATCATATTAATAATTACATTGTAAATTAATTTAAATATACTCCTAATATAATATATATATATATATATATATATATATATCAGTCTTTACGATTTCGATGATTTTGATTAAGTTTTACGTTTAGTTGTTTTTATTCACTTCATTAATATTTTAGACAGTATCGGGACTGCGGTTTCAGATAATTTCCAATCGCGGGCTATTGATATAATAAATTGATCGCTGGAACTAATTAAATATCGTGTACACGGATGAAATATTTCGATGTTAGTTCATTATTATATAGTCTTTACATTAATTTATCCGTAATAATACGATTAATCGCCGTCGCGTATAAATAATGGTAAAATCGACCTTGAGCGCGCCACTACAGCATAATATAAAACAACACGTGTTGCCACACTAATAACGCGAATTTATGGCATCTGTCCGTCTCGATTACGTTTTACCAGTAGTTATAATTTCTCAATAAAGACGATTATTAATGGGGTTTGTCACGTTATAACTAAAGAAAAAAATATAATATATACGAACAAAATTCATTACCGCGCTCGTATACTCGTTAATTTATCACGTCGACTTAATAAACCGAAACGTCGAAAATATTATCATAATATATTATATTTTATTACGTGCGGCGATAGAGCGTGGGATGCTGTGTGTGTATAATCGTCGTAACCCAACGTCGTCTCTCTCGTTAAACAAAACGTTTGCGTATTATTGCGTGTATATTATAGTCATATAGAAGAGTAAGACATAATACTCAATACAACAATAATAATATAATATCAACATGTGTATTATTCTATATACATGTTAAAAAGACAAAAAAAATAATCCGTTCGGCGATAAACGTTTATATAAAATACTACATAATATCAGAAATAAAAATAAACAAATCCATTTGGTCGCGAATTACGGTTTGAATAATAAAACAACGATAGTTTAATCTTGTACGATGCTGCACGACACTAGGCTGCACGACGATCGACGACGCGTTCTTCTCTTTGACTGCAGCTCACTATATTTTAAACCTACTCACATTGTCGACAACTATAAGTTGTCCATTATCGACCATATTATGACTGTGTAAGTATAAGACGGTATATTATTATGAAAAGTGAGCAGTGAGCACGTTCGAAAAGCAGAGCAGTGCTATTGCGAATGATACGCACTATAATGTTTCAGCCAATATAATATAAAGTGTGTTCAAAATTTCAAACAACGCGCTGGGAGAGTTTGCGGCGGCGGCGAGGCTGCACAAGGTCAACGCAATAAATTTATTTTTTCTACCCGCTACCAGCGATAAATCAACTGTCAACCACTGTGATATGTATATATAATATATGTATAATATTAGGTATGTGTGCCGTATACGTACGCCCCACTTGACCCCTTCTCTCGACAATACACGTGTGCTTGTAAATGTATCGAATGCGTGTACCATGGTCGAAGTTCGGACGTTTTCAATTTGTGCGAACCGCTTGCGTTTCCGTCGACGGCCCGTTCAGGAGATTAAAAAGACTTGGCGGCGTCCGATTTGCCAACTGTGTAGGTATATATATATACGTACTCTGTATACAGAGTGATTCACCAAGCTCGTCCAACACCAGTTCTTCATTTGATAATATGAAATTTTTCTCGGATTCTTATTTTTGGAAATTTTGACTATGAAATACTCAAAGATTATATTTTTTTCAGATTTTGCGTAGGTAACACGGCGTAGTGTCCTGTGGCGATATAGACCTCGTATTTTTCATTTGAAAGCCCTCTGCTTAACTATTTAGAGGATCATTTTGTTTAAAACATTTTTACGTACCTATGTGTTTCTAAATTGTAACGAGTTTTCATTAAAAATGGCTTTATAAAAGTATAAAATATATTTATATATGTGATATCGGATCCAGCATTCGTGATTTTAATAAAATATAAATATTGATCGTCTGATATAAGTTACTACAATTTTTGATTTACCCCCAGATGTTCCAACCTATTATTATGGCCCTAAACTCACGAAGTTAAATAACTCAACAACTACTTATTCCAATTTTAATTTTGTTACGCGTACATTTTGTCATAAGAACTATCTGCTAAACAATTGATTGTGTAAAATGGTAGGGGGTGATTGTTGTTTGAAAAATATAAGAAGAAAAAAGGGTGCACATACTCGGTGAATCGCCCTGTATATCTACACTTACTCGTATCGTATTTATCTCTCACACACACACCGTATATTGAGATACCTATAGGCGATAGTTTGTACAATTAAAAATCTCCGTACCGAAACCTCTACCCGCGACGCGCCCACACAAACACCACTCTATAGTACACGGTTCACATTCGCGCACTGTTGGTCGATGTAATATACCACACGACGTGCACTGCGATACACTATATACTTACAATATATATATATATATATATATAGGTGGAAAACGAGGAGTCGATGTTTGTAATATATTATATTGGCCGAGGTTTTTGCCGTTTTGGCACCGAAACCCGCCGCGAGTTTACCCGCCGTGTCGTGTGCGTGTGTGTCGCGCTTTCTAATGGGCCATAAATCTCCGAGCGGCAGAGGCCACCGCCGCCGCGACGGGACGCGGACAATATAAAAACGCCCTGCGTAGACCGCGGGGCACGAGTGCGCGAGCGGGGGGGGGGGGCGGCGACGGTTGTTTTTCGCCCGGGAAAACGAGTCTCGCGATAAAACGTCCGGTCGTAAATTACCCGCCGCCGCTCGAAACCTACCCCCCTAAAGTCTCCCCGTCCGTAGC